AAAAACTACCAACAAACAAAAAAAAAAACTAAGCCAAAAAACACTTACCTTACCTAAACAAAAACCTATACCAAATACCATGGACACCTACTTCTTCATAAAAAAAACTACCAAAAACTACCAAAAACTACCAAAAACTACCAAAAACGACCAAAAAACGACCAAAAACAACCAAAAACAATCAAAAACAACCAAAAACAACCAAAAACAACCAAAAACAACCAAAAACAACCAAAAACAACCAAAAACAACCAAAAACAACCAAAAACAACCAAAAACAACCAAAAACAACCAAAAACAACCAAAAACAACCAAAGACAACCAAAAACAACCAAAAACAACCAAAAAAACAACCAAAAACAACCAAAAACAACCAAAAACAACCAAAAAAAACCAAAAACAACCAAAAACAACCAAAAACAACCAAAAACAACCAAAAACAACCAAAAACAATCAAAAACAATCAAAAACTACCAAAAACAACCAAAAACAACCAAAAATAACCAAAAACAACAAAAAACAACCAAAAACAACCAAAAACAACCAAAAACAACCAAAAACAACCAAAAACAACCAAAAACAACCAAAAACAACCAAAAACAACCAAAAACAACCAAAAACAATCAAAAACAACCAAAAACAACTAAAAACAACTAAAAACAACCGAAAACAACCGAAAACAACCAAAAACAACCAAAAACAATTAAAAACAAACCAAAAACAACCAAAAAAAACACCCAAAAACGACCAAAAACGACCACAAACGACCAAAAACGACCAAAAAACGACCAAAAACAACCAAAAAACGATCAAAAAACGATAAAAAAAAACGATCAAAAAACGATCAAAAAACGATCAAAAAACGATCAAAAAACGATCAAAAAACGATCAAAAAACGATCAAAAAACGATCAAAAAAACGATCAAAAAACGATCAAAAAACGATCAAAAAAACGATCAAAAAAACGATCAAAAAACGATCAAAAACTATAAAAAACGACCAAAATCGACCAAAATCGACCAAAATCGACCAAAAACAATCAAAAACTATCAAAAGCTATCAAAAACTATCAAAAACTATCAAAAACTATCAAAAACTATCAAAAACTATCAAAAACTATCAAAAACTACCAAAAAGCAACCAAAAACTACCAAAACCGACCAAAAAAGTCAAAAAATGACCAAAAACTACCAAAAACAACCAAAAAACGATCAAGAACTATAAAAAAAGTACCAAAAACAACCAAACACTATTAAAAGCTACCAAAACTACCAAAAAACGATCAAAAACTATAAAAAAAGTACCAAAAACAACCAAAAACAACCAAACACTATCAAAAGCTACCAAAAACTACCAAAAACTACCAAAAACTACCAAAAACTACCAAAAACTACCAAAAACTACCAAAAACTACCAAAAACTACCAAAAACTACCAAAAACTACCAAAAACTACCAAAAACTACCGAAAACTAGCAAAAACTAGCAAAAACTAGCAAAAACTACCAAAAACTACCAAAAACTACCAAAAACTACCAAAAACTACCAAAAACTACCAAAAACTACCAAAAAACGACCAAAAAACGACCAAAAACAACCAAAAACAATCAAAAACAACCAAAAACAACCAAAAACAACCAAAAACAACCAAAAACAACCAAAAACAACCAAAAAACAACCAAAAACAACCAAAAACAACCAAAAACAACCAAAAACAACCAAAAACAACCAAAAACAACCAAAAACAACCAAAAACAACCAAAAACAACCAAAAAAAACCAAAAAAAACCAAAACAACCAAAAACAACCAAAAACAACCAAAAACAACCAAAAACAACCAAAAACAATCAAAAACAACCAAAAACTACCAAAAACAACCAAAAACAACCAAAAATAACCAAAAACAACCAAAAACAACCAAAAACAACCAAAAACAACCAAAAACAACCAAAAACAACCAAAAACAACCAAAAACAACCAAAAACAACCAAAAACAATCAAAAACAACCAAAAACAACTAAAAACAACTAAAAACAACCGAAAACAACCGAAAACAACCAAAAACAACCAAAAACAACCAAAAAACACCCAAAAACGACCAAAAACGACCACAAACGACCAAAAACGACCAAAAAACGACCAAAAAACGACCAAAAACAACCAAAAAAACGATCAAAAAACGATAAAAAAAAACGATCAAAAAACGATCAAAAAACGATCAAAAAACGATCAAAAAACGATCAAAAAACGATCAAAAAACGATCAAAAAACGATCAAAAAACGATCAAAAAACGATCAAAAAACGATCAAAAAACGATCAAGAAACGATCAAGAAACGATCAAAAAAACGATCAAAAAAAACGATCAAAAAACGATCAAAAACTATAAAAAAACGACCAAAATCGACCAAAATCGACCAAAATCGACCAAAATCGACCAAAATCGACCAAAAACAATCAAAAACTATCAAAAGCTATCAAAAACTATCAAAAACTATCAAAAACTATCAAAAACTATCAAAAACTATCAAAAACTATCAAAAACTATCAAAAACTATCAAAAACTACCAAAAACTACCAAAAAGCGACCAAAAACTACCAAAACCGACCAAAAAAGTCAAAAAATGACCAAAAACTACCAAAAACAACCAAAAAACGATCAAGAACTATAAAAAAAGTACCAAAAACAACCAAACACTATCAAAAGCTACCAAAACTACCAAAAAAACGATCAAAAACTATAAAAAAAGTACCAAAAACAACCAAAAACAACCAAAAACAACCAAACACTACCAAAAACTACCAAAAACTACCAAAAACTACCAAAAACTACCAAAAACTACCAAAAACTACCAAAAAACGACCAAAAAACGACCAAAAACAACCAAAAACAATCAAAAACAACCAAAAACAACCAAAAACAACCAAAAATAACCAAAAACAACCAAAAACAACCAAAAACAACCAAAAACAACCAAAAACAACCAAAAACAACCAAAAACAACCAAAAACAACCAAAAACAACCAAAAACAACCAAAAACAACCAAAAACAACCAAAAACAATCAAAAACAACCAAAAACAACCAAAAACAACCAAAAACAACCAAAAACAACCAGAAACAATCAAAAACAAAACAACCTTTTTTCAACTATTTAATGTTGCAACCGTCACTATTGATGGAGTTAACGAATGCTTATTTGAAATTCGAGAGACGCTAAATTTATGGTTCCCACCTTCTCGAGACTCAAGCCCATATTGGTGAACTTGTAGCGTAAAAAGTATTGTCATTACTTAGTCTAAACCTCATGATAATTGTCACAAGTCTTGATTTTTAAAACCGTTCTATATCGCCTTTTGATTAGGGTTTTCTTGTTCGAACAATTTATCCAATAATAATTGGCCCCTTTACCTCTTTAGCCTACTCATGAAAAGTATTTGGGCTCCTTACTTCTTAAACCTATTTTCTAAAAATATTTGGTTACTTCTAAATCTGTCAATGTAAAATTGTATGATCCCTTTGTCCTTTTAGCCTGCTTATGTAAAAATATTTGTTTCCTTTGTCCATTAGTCCTGTCCAGTTAAAAATATTTGCATTCATTGTTCCTTAAGCCAACCTGCGTATATAAAAATTTTAAACATTTTTACAAAAGCGGCAATATCTGTTCTCATTTTGGTAAAATTAATACCAATTCTTTGGGCAGTGCAATTACCATTCTGATAGTTTAAAAATTGTAATGATGGACGATTACTGATGGATTTTTACATATTTTTTTAAATTTATCGGTAAATATAAATTTTAAAGTTATTTTTGTCTTGGTTTTGGGTAAATTTTCTAAAAAAGCTAGTTCAAGGTTTTGTAAATCACTAATTTTCATGCAATACATCTCATTAGCCCGATAAGTGTCCAATATTCTCATATTTAAAGACCTTAAGAATTAAAGGAATTGGCATCCCTTTCTTCCAGCATTTGAAATAATATACATTTGACAATATTTTAAAAAACAAAAATATGCCTGTTTAAAAATAAAAAAAGTTATTGCTCCGGAACTAGAAAAAACTAATCATACCGGGTGCCTCGTTATATTATCATTCTCCTATAAATATTTAAAAATATTTAACTATTTTTTATACTACTATACTCTGTTTTTAAACTAAGAGGAGCGATTTGAATTTAAGTTGGCAATTCTGTAGACTTCTAATTGGTCAGATTGAAGTCAGTTTCACACATCACTTTTTAGCTACTGTTGACAGGAGTTGACAGTTCTATTTTCGATTCTGACATTTTATAATTTAAGTTTTGTTATTCCTTTGATATCTCATCATTATTACTTAGTTTTTTATTTTATTTCTTTAATAACAGTTCTTTTCAAAACTTTAGTAAGCAATTGTATTGAATTTCTACGATTATGGATATTTCTACATCGAATACTATTATAACAGTTCCTCGCGGAGTCCATCAAAACAACGAAAACGAATGAGTTTAGGCTATTCGTCTCTCAGAAAAGCAGTAAATAATAAATATGTACAAATAGGTATTGGATAATAATACGAAAACCAAAATTGTTGATGTTATATCCAAAATTTTTCAAGCTACCAGTAAGTTTTACTTATTACTTTCAAATTAAAAATAATATTAAATACTCAATATTTTTCTTACAGGTCAAAGTCAACTACTTACCGATTATTGAAATAATACCGCAATAATGGAACAATATCTAGTCTAAAAAGTATTTATGGAAGACGAGGAGTTCTAAAAACATTTGATTATGATGATGATAAATGCTATTCGAAGATTAGTACATGCTTTCTTTTTCAAAAATGAGTTATCTAGATTGAATAAAATTTTGCAAGAATTGAAATATTTAGATTTGCCACAAATATATTATTCATCTTTATATACTTTCTTGAGATATAATAACTAAGTAAGTTTGTAACTTTGACCAGTCAAATGTACTGTTTATTTATTATGTATATATTTTTTTAGATATTTGAAAAGAAATTGTCAAAGTGTATTGATAGAACACTATATACGTAGATTTAAAATCCATCAAACAATATAGAAAATAAAACAGACCAAGCTTTGATGAAGATCATAATAAGGTTTATCAACAGGCCTGAAATGCCAAAAGCAGGTGCCTTAATATACGTGCTAATTCTGAAGGTTTTTGTAGAAAATGCATTTACCTTAACGAGACGAAATCCGAAGTATTTTAGAATTGGTTTTCTACATTTTTTACAAAGTTTTCTAATTATGCTATGATTGTCATGGAAAATGTATCATATCATAGTCGAAAAGTTGAAAAAATTCCTTTGTCATCAAGAAAATCTGACGGGAATGGTTACAAAACTAAAAATATTAAATTTATTTAAATATGAAGTGATATCAACTTTTACACCTAATTTGGCAACATAAAGATGCACATAATTTGAATGTTGTCGATGTAAAGGCTAAAGAAACCAATAAAGTTGTGTAGTGGCTGCCCCATATCACTGCGAGTTAAATCCCATAGAATTGATAGAGGCACAAATAAATCAGGTGGCAGCTAAAAACACAACGAATCTTCTGATGTAGATTAACATATTGAGTACTTAGTGTTTTTTGTTTCTGATTCAATGTAAATGTCAAGATGTACTTTGTCTTTTTACTTATTATGTTGTATAGGCACCTCTTATGTATTTTTGTTTTATTTTTCAAACTTTTATTATTAATTAAAATATTATAACAAATTTACAAAATAAAGATACTACTATTCATATGTTGTTTTTCTAACCCATATTAAAAAAAAAATTACAAAACTAGAGTGTAGTATACAAAAATTACAACTTCTCTCATTTTTATTGTAAAATTGTTGTATCTTACACACATTTAAGCGCCAGTCTGTATTTAACTTAAAAATTCTTGTTCTGCAAGGTATAAGTGGTGAGAGTAGATTTGAGCAGCCGTTATTGAGAAATCTGGATTTATAAAAAAGGCGTCCTTTAAATTTTACAATAAAAATGGGAGCAGCTTTAAATATTTTACCCCGTAAATAATGCTTTTTATACAACTTTATTACTATTTTTTTTTTAACTAAAAATTAATGAATTTCTAATCAAAATGATTAAAATATAACTAAATATTAAAGTAAATTTTATTTATTTGAAAATAAACCATTTACAAAATTGTTAATGAACATTTAAAACTACAAAATATTTTGGATATATTTAAAAGTGCTATTGCCATCTGAATATGTCCATAATTTGTGGCCTCCAAAACTTTCATTATTTAACCTAAAACAAATACCTTGTTTTATTATTTTAAATAAATAGCTTGGTACTTAAATAGTCAAAAGCATAAAGTGTTATCACTGTAACATTTGGTGTGGCACCCTTTTTTAAACATTAAATTGCTATATGTAAAGGACTTTCCAAACAAGTGTCAAAAATATTCTCTAGATATAATGTAAGAATTGCTCATAAACGAAACCTTATTTTTAAATTTTAAACCCAAACTCAAGAAAGCAACTCAACTAAATGTAGTTTATAAAATAGACTGCAAAGATTATAACTACACTTACACATATTAAACTCTGCGAATGTGTAAAAGGTGTATTTTAATTTAATCAACTAGTTGTAAGCTACTTACACACTATCACAAAATATTGGTTTCGTTCATGATCATTTTAAAGTGTTTATTTTCCTAAATGTTTTTTTAAATTTTAAAAAGCTGTGATTGCACCAGAAGATTTCGAAACATATGTAGTGCTGAATTATTAAAATATCTACCGATCATACTAAAGATATTTTTGTTTGTAAAAAATATATTAAATTGGGTGTAGGAAATCCTTCTGCTGACACAAAGTTACAAATTACCTTTTTTATGCCTTAATAATTTTTATTTATTTGTCTATACAATAAATTATCATACAAAATTAAGATACATATTATCTTACCTGCAAATAAACATTTAGTTTTCGAGAGGCTTGAAGGATGTCTCAAAAAAATATACCATCTGCTTTATATTGTATAAAAATATGTTTTCAAGAAGACCAAAGACATGCTGATACACAATGTGGAATTTAAGCAACAATTATAAATCCTATCTACAAAAAAACAGGAGAATGATAAAAACCATTATTATTATAGTAAAAGCTGGTAGGTACCATTGCACTTTCTTGGACTTCTACATACATTTAATAAGCTGTTGCCCACAAGTTTACACTTTCGACTGTTGAATATATCATCTTGTTAGTGGAGACAAAATTCGTATAGATTTGATTTATTTCATTTTAAAACACTTGTCTGCAAACATATCCTATCCTACTTCAGAACTTTGCTACATTTTACCTAAAGAAAGAACCCTTATTTAATTAGAAATCCATACAACTAATGGTAATCTTGTAGTTTAATTTTAAGAAAAAATATTACAAATTAAACTATACCTATAAATATAAAAATAAACTTTATTTTTATGTACCTGCCAAAATTCTTCATTTTAAATAAGGTTTTCTTCAACTACATATTTTTTAGTCCCTCCTAAATATGTTTTGTAATAGGTAGGTAATAATAGGTGCTTAATTTCATTCCAACAAATAGAACTGGCATACTTATTTTTCTAATTTTTCCATCAAATTGAAAAACCTACTATTTACTTTCTTTTCTGTTATTATAATAGATATATAATTTTCTAATCACAGTTACTTATAAAACAATGAATAAAATATCGAATTAAAACTCAAATGTTAAACTCAAAATGTACATTATTTTGTATTTTGTTGGGAGACATTTTACTCAATTTACTGAAATTTGGTCGCTGCTTGTGCGATTCTCTTCTCAACATACTGGTCCGTGGTCCGAGCTGCGATATGAGACGAAGAAAGGAAAAAATAAAAGTATAACTAAAATACAATAATTATAAATCAAAAAGGGAATGAGCACAATTTAGGGTCATCTTTATTCGTTGGTTATCTAAAATTTTGACTTCAATGAATTCATAACAAAGTTTTGAAATGTTTTTCTTGAAATGATACAAGACAAATTCAAATTTACCGCTAAAATGATATCTAGTTACTTTTTTAGTTATTTTTCCCTGTGTAAATAGGACTTTTCAATTCGCTCCTCTTAGTTTAAAAACAGAGTATAGTTTTAGTTAATGCATGATTCGACTAAACATGCACATTATTAATAATAATAACAACATATTAATTGATGTGTTATTATTTAAAAATGTCCAGGCTCTAAACTTCTATTTTTGTTTCAGAGGTCCCAATGTTTCTGTGCTTCACCTTCGAAGCACATCGGAACCGTGGGAGACGAACACGAATCCTACCTATTCATCTACTACTTCGTACTCCACCAAAAACTACTTTACGAGAGGGACTGCCTCTAGTTTGCCACCTCTGACGAAACATCAATCGTTGAGTGGTCCAAGCGCGGCTTATAAATGGCATAATTCACCGAGTTTTCACAATACAGCCGAAGTGAATACTCCTGAGATGTTCGTTGGAAATGTCAAACGGGAATTATCACCGGTAAGCTTAATTTTATTTTGTATATGGTTTTTGGAGAAAATATTAGACATCAAATGCCATAACTGACTATCAAGTACATATAAATTTCTTTAAAACTTTCTTCTATAATCCGTTTGGTTGGAATTACATACAAAAATACACTTTTAGTAATCCAGAAAACTATATAAATATATTTTTAATAGTCTAAACGCAAAAGTTAGTGTCCCTGTTACAAAAAGCTGATGTTTATATTGGTTCCAGCAGAAATTTTGGTAGAAACATTCACTTCTCTTAAGCTGGAAAGCTGCCAACTGGGCAGAATCGATTAATATCTATTACATTATTTAGTACCTATTTTGTACTAATTTGTACCACCAATAAAATTTTTGTACCATGTGCCGTTTTCAAAAAAAACTTAGCGCTAGTTATATGTATAGAATTAGCATAGTAAATATTTTTTATCTCTAGCTTAGTCAGCATTTAAAAAGTAAATATATGTTAACTTGTTTATTTTAATAATTCTTCAGATATTCTTCATACTTGATTGTTGTAGTTTGGAATTAAAAAGTTTTTTAAAAAACGATTTTTCCTTTAAATAACCATAATTGGCGCAGTCAGTAGGATTCGCGCGGGCTACGAAAAAATACAATTAACGTTCGCATCGTGCTAACAGTGATTTTTCGGTAGACTTTGGCAGTATTAACGCCTTCAGTGCGAATCGAACTTTCCATCAACTACAATCATTCCATCGAGGAACCTTCAGTAGAGAAGTCGAAGAATTCGGAAAAAGGAACCAGGATCTACAGAGTCCATCGAGGAACTGTAAGTGCCAAAATCCTTTTTTGCCTCTCCTTTTTCATCGAGAAATAGGAAAGATAGTAATATTAAGTTTTTATTTTAAAAGAAAAGAATATTTAAGTTATATTGAATTTTGAAAATATTAATATTGAATATTGAAAAAGAATATATCTAAGTTATTTATATTGCATTTATTTTAAAATATTTATATGACAGAATTTGATAAAATTATAGAAAGTTTTAATAAGATTTCTTTAGAAGATAATAAAGATAATAAAATAGAAATGGCTCCACAAGTAGCTAATATTAATTGGAGTTTCTTTAAATCCAAATTAAATAATATTAAACCTTATGACGGGGATAGTAATACATTAAATAAATTTATTAGTAGATGTGATGCACTTTTTCAAAGTTATGCTGATTTGAATAATGATCAATTAAATGCTCATATTTTTGAATGCATCCAAGAAAAACTTATTGATAAAGCCGAATTAAATGTAGGAAACAGAACAGAGTTACAAACCTGGGATGATTTAAAAAATGCTCTTGTTCAATGCTTTTCAGACAGAAGAGATCTGGATTGCCTTGTGCAAGAACTAACTAGAAACTACCCTTATAAAAACGAACATTTATTAGACTTCGGTAGTCGAATACAGTTATTAATGAGTACAGTGATTCAAAGAATCAGTAATGATGTTACATTATCAATAAACGATAAAATTTGTCAAACAAACCACCATAAAAAGACAGCTTTAAATACATTTATTGCGGGTTGTCCACCAATTTTAAAAAATAATTTACATTTAAAAAAGCCAGCTACTTTAGAAGACGCTATGGCTTATGTCACAGAATTTGAAAATTTCGAGAAATTATATGGCAATATTGAACATAAACAAATGCCAAAAATTAATGTTAATCATAATAATCAAAATATAAAACTAATAATAATTTCTCAAACATGAGACAACAAACTAATCAAAAGTTTTATCCTTTTACAAATCAAAATAATAATTCTAGATTTTACCCTAATAATAATTATAATTATCATAGTTATCCAAGATTTAATAATCCTAATAATAATCAACAATTTTCAAAACCTATATTTCCACGACAACCAATACATGTTCAACCAATTCCAGAAATAAATAAAAAATATTTCACCAATCGTCAAGTTTTTGGGGAAAATCTAAGACCTCAAAATGTTTTTAAACCCAATCAAATTAATTCAAATCAATTACCCAAACCAGAACCTATGTCAACCACCTCTCGAAACCCACCACTTATGAGAAACGTAAATTATAATCAAAGACAAAACTATTTTCAAAATAATCAAAAACCAAATTTTTCATTTGAAGAATTAAATAATACACAAACAAATTTGAATAAAAGTTTTGATGATACTGTTTATCAAAACTATGTTTTAGAAAATGAATGTGAAATATACGCGGATGAACCGTACGAAAATTATGATAATAATCAACAATATAATTATAAAAATAAATCAGAAACTAAAATGCAACAAGTTGGAAATTTTCGGAAAGCCAGCCTTTCAGAAACAATTACATAATAGAAATGAATGATTATAATATAAATAATCCACTACCATATGTAGACATTAAAAACCCACCAATCAAACTGCTTATTGACACTGGAAGTTCCAAATCAATAATTAAACCATTCATTATTGAACAATATTTTCCTGACACAATTTATCACGCAAATATAACATTAAAAACATCATTGGGGAGTAAACAGATCCGATTTCAGTCAGATATCCCAGCATTCGCAGAATTTAATTGCCAGTACGTGATTAATTTCATTGTATATGATTTTCATGACTTTTTTTATGGTGTTATTGGACTTACTGACCTAGTTAACATGAACTTAAATATAGATTTAATAAACAAGAAATTAATAGGCCCGTATGTTGAAATTCCTTTTAAATATAGACAACCAAATGATATAAATTTTTCGTTTACCGTTAATGGTAAAGAATCTCTTTTAAAAAAATTACCTGTTAGTATACAGGATGGAGACATAATTATTGAAGAAACATATTTTAGAAATATTTATTTACCTCGAATGATAACAACCGCAAAAAACGGATTTGCTTTAATTGAAGCTTAAAACAATACAGATGAAAGTATTTCTATTAAATTAAATAATCCTATTTTAGCTAAACGATTCCAAAATTCTGAGCACGAACTATACAAATCTGAATGTTTTAAAAATAAATTTGAAAAAACTAAAAAATCGAAAAGTAAAGAAAGGTAAAGCAAATATTACAAAATTAACTAGAACGAGTCATATGAACTCTAAAGAAAAAATTAAGGTAACGAAATCCGTAGAAGATATTTGTCAAGAAACAAACCTATATAATCTTTTTGAATTGGAAACTACTACTAATAATAATAATAATAATAATTTGCAAAACGATATTAATTCAAAAAATAATTTAACAAACGATGTATCATCTCAAAATATAATCGATACTAATTCACATAAAAATAATTTGACAAACTATGAATCATCTCAAAATGTAATATATGGGAAACTTTCTAAAACAAATCCATATGATAAAAAAGAATGTTCATTATTGCATAATGATATTAAAATAAATCGAGCAAATATTCGTAATAAAAAAAAATTTTTATCATCAAATAGTATTAGAACCAATATGAAAAATCCTGGAACCTACAAATGTTATCGAAAGAGAATAAAATTTAAAAACTTTACAAACTCGGATAGGAAAAGAGTAAGATTCAAAAACAACATTAATATATAATTTAGTTTTAATAGAAATAAACATAATATTAATTAATTCATATTTCAGAACGATGTTTAAACTCTTATAAAAATCAAGTTTATATTACAATAGGAGAATCAATGAATAATCAAGTAAGAACAGAAAAGATTTTTGAAAACTCTAGAATATACGTAACCTTATCTAAAATTAATTTAGAACAACAAATTATTAATTTTGTTAAAAATTATATTGATCCAAAAGTAACATATGCCTTATATTTTAAAAATCAAAATTTACCTGAAATATTTATACCTACAGTGCAAAATAATTTTAAACATTTTAACAACTGATGAACAAAAAACTAAAATTGAATATTACCATATTTATAAATCGGGACATAGAGGCATTAATGAAGTAAATACAGCCTTAAGTTCTAGATATTATTAGCCAAAAATGATGGAAGATATTAAATATTATATAAATAATTGTGAAACTTGTCAGAAAAATAAATATGATAGAAATCCTCCAATAGTAAAATTTAATTTAACGCCTACAGCCACAAAACCATTTGAACATATACATATTGACGTATTTAAAATTTCTAATCAATCATATTTAACTATTATTGATTCATTCTCGAGATATGGTCAGGCATATCCTATGAAAAGTATAACAGGAATAAATGTAGTAGATAATTTATTAAATTTTGTAACCCATCATGGATTACCTCAAAAAATTACAACAGATTGTGGCACTGAATTCAAAAATTATGATTTAGAAGATTTTTGTAAATTACATCATATTGAACTTCATTATACTACTGCTAAAAATAGCAATTCAAATTCACCTGTAGAACGTTTTCATTCAAGTTTAATTGAACATTTTAGATGTCTCAAAGAAGAAAATAATGATCTAACCCCTGATCAATTAATAAAACATGCTATATTAGCTTATAATAATTCCGTACATTCCGTAACAAAATTCACTCCTTATCAAATAATTAAAGGACATATTAATAATGAAGATCCTTTTGATTTAAATGATCATCTTATAATTTCAAATTACGTACAAAATCATAAACAAATTAGTAAAAAATTATATGAAGACATAAAAGATAAAAACGAAACAATTAAACAAAAAGTAATAGAAAATAGAAATGAAAATCGATCAGAACCAACTAATTATGAGGAACCAAGCACTGCATACATAAAAACTAAATTAAGAAATAAAGCTTCTCCAGTTTATAAGAAAACTAAGGTTATTAAAAATAAAGGTATTTTATTAAAAACTAATAAAGGGACTTATCACAAAAGTATAATTAAAAAACCTAAAGGTTCAAAAACTAATTCAAATTTATTGTTGCAGAAACAAGACGAAAATGGGGACAAAAATAATGATAATCTGCCTAGTACTGCTAGTAATAGAATAAATTAACGCACAAGAAGATATACAAATAACTCGACTTGAAAATTTATTA